AGAATTACATCTGGCTCTGCACACTCTTCTATGAGCGCTTATATGATGTTGTTGACCTTGTTCTCTCTGTCTTTTAGCCCATCCTCCTTCTGGAATATAGTCCCAAGGCCCTTCCTTTCACATGCCAAAAAAATTTCCTAAATCTCAAGTCACAGAGTCAAAACTTCCAGTACTCTTTCTCATCCATGTCAAAAACAATCCAATGGTATCTCTACAGTGACTCCTACAATGCTCTACATCTATTTTAGATGGCACCTTCTAGCACCTAGCTAAACAACAGAACATGGGAGATGTTCAATTCTTGCACACATGATTTGATAATAACACAGCAATCATGGTTGATGCATCTAATGCCAGAAAGGAAAATGTGCAACCCTTCCTAAGAATGGAATTAACGTTTCAAAAAAACCGAGCTGGGTCTTTGCAAGGGCTCTGGGATGCCCAAGAGAGAAAAAAATAGTCCAGGCATCACAGGTGCCATCCCTGTTTGGCCTTGGGTGACAAATAAATGTAGAAAGAAAGAAAGCATGCTGTCCATACTTCACTCTGTATTTTAACTCTGTCATTCACATAGGTCCCAGGACATGGTTTAAGGCAGTGGTCCCCAACCTTGGGCCTCCAGATGTTCTTGGACTACAACTCCCAGAAGCCTTCGCCACCACCTCTGCTGGCCAGGACTTCTGGGAGCTGAAGTTCAAGAACCTCTGGAGGCCCAAGGTTGGGGACCACTGCTTTACAGGGTATACTTTAACAGTTTTATATCACAATGCTGAGCAATCCAAGTCCTCCAAGTTAGTGCTTCTTTAGCAAATTAAATGCTTATAGGAGCTCACTGTTATTTCTATTGAATATGTGCAACATAAATCTTAAACCTACCCAATTGCTTCGGAGTCCCATTGATACAAATGGAATTACTCAGGGTGAAGTAGTCTGAAAATGACTGCCAATATTTTCTTTTATTATGTGCAACAGGAAATGTTGCTGTTAGGAGTGTTTTTAACATTTCTTTGCTTCTGCCTTCAGATATGTACCATATTTGAAAATGAACAAACAAATAATGCCTAAATATTACAACCAGTTTCTCTCTGTGATCCTCCCATGCCTCCTTTTGTGTCCCTTTTCACTGGAGAAATGTAATACTGACTGTCTAGAAGGATAAAGGAAAAATTCTGTTTCATAGCAGGAACAATTTATTTGCACACTGCTCAAGGGCTAGTCAAGCAAGGCATATAAAATGGTTGTTGCTTAAGACTGAATCTACAGTGATACATTTTTCATCTATCCCTTTCTAAGCAAAGCTAAATGTGAGAACAATCTTCTATTATTATTATTACTACCACCATTACAATACATATATTTCAACATTTTAAGAACTCAAGAGAATTCTTAAACTTCTCCCAACTAAAAGATGTGAGTTACTGTGGCTTGCCAAATATTTAGTGTGGATTAATGCTTTTTTGCTAGAGTATCCATGAGAATCAACAAAGTTTCCTTTTGAGTAAATATCCGTATGATTGAACTGAAAGATGCCTAAGAATTAGTATATCGTATTTTTCTCCTACCATGGTTTTTAAAACTGGTTTTCTCTTGACCCAACTTTTTGCATGCCACATAATTGCGATGACAGAAAAATGGCTACTAAATGCTCAGAGATGATGTACACACACACACACATTTTCTACAATTATTATTGTACAGCTGATGGTGAAGGATTCTGGGAACTGCAGTCCAAGAACACCCGCGTTACCTAAGGTTGGGAACCACTATCTTAGATTTCAGCCTGTTTTAATACAAACCTAATGCATACAACTTCTTTCTCATGAACTATGTTGTTTACTCTATGTATAAACCAGCTTTATTCATCTCCACTCTTTGCAAAATACTCTTTATTTGCCTCTACTGAAAATCAATTGTTCTCAAAACACCCTTCTTTCCTGATTGACGTCAGAAGAAAACAAGCCATGCTTTCTCTCCAATGCAAAGATCTCCCAAGAAGAATTACATTTCTTGGCTTCCCACTGGCCATATCCAAAACTTGAAAGGAGGCATTTTTCTTGATCCCTTGCACAATCAGGAACACAACTATCTAATAGGAAATAGTCTAGCAATTTGAAATTCATAATGGCTTTCAGCACTGAACCTATCCAGGCAAGTTTCAACAACAGTTTGGCTGGTTAATCTAGACCAGTTTGGAAGCCAGAATGGAAAAGGGAAAAAATGCATTGGGAAAGCTGCCTAAAATTACAAAGCAAGACAAAAGGAATGCCAGCTCCATTTGTTCTTCCTGACTGGGCATGACAAGATAATTGCACAGAGGTGGAATGGTGCGGTCATCAAGGTAAGATTAGATTCCCTTGGAACAGTGTTTAGAACGCTACTTTTTGAATTTTCTGATATAACTAGATACAACATCCCAAAAATAACTGATTAACAGGACTATATTCCTTTTTTAGCACTCTGTTACCTTAATTGCGACATTGTTTTTTGCCTTTAATTTTCACTTTGGAGGGGAGAACTCTTTTTAAAGGAAAATGGCTTTTAAAACATTTTTTAAAAAAAAAATGGCTCAGGAAAGCACCTTTAACTCCCAAAATAATAAGGAAAGGAAATAAGTCAATGTTTCTCATTACACCAAAAAGAAATTACAGTATTACCAGACAGGAATGTTGGTTGGAAAGATATATTTGCTTTGTCCCTGCCATCCTGAAAACTGACATGTTGCAGGAACATGATTACTTGCAAAGTTACTTTCAAGCCCTGCCCAGGAAACAGAATAATTTATCAAATACAAGTAGTGCCTCGCTTAGCGACATTAATCCATGCAGCAAAAATTGCTGCTAAGCAATTTTTAAAAGCCCATAGAAACAAATTGAAACCCCTTCAATGCATTCCCATGGGCTCCTAAACTAACCATAAGCGAAAATCCTCCATTGCGGCAGCCATTTTCGGTGCCTCTAAAGCGAGGCAACAGTGGGCGGCCATTTTGGAACCGCTGATCCGCTGGCTGAAAATGGGGCCTTTGTGATGATTGCGGGGAAGCGGTCAGCGCAAAGGCCCCATTTTCGCCAGCTGATCAGCGGGGCCTTTGCGATGATCGCAGGGAAGTGATCCTCGCAAAGGCCCCGCCAATCAGCTGGCGAAAATGGGGCATTTGCGATGATCACGGGGAAGCGATCCTCACAAAGGCCCTGCCATCAGCTGGCAAAAATGGGGCATTTGTGAGGATCGCTTCCCCGCGATCATCGCAAAGGCCCCGCCAATCAGCTGTGCTTCATCTCTCTCTCTCCGATTCCCCGTGATCATCATCGCAAAGGCCCTGCCGATCAGCTGGCGAAAATGGGCCGTTTGCCATGATCGCTTCCCCGCGATCATCGCAAAGTGAATTTTCCCCATAGGGGCCATCGCAAAGCGATCGCTTTTGCAATCACAAAAACAGCATCGCAAAGCGATTTCTTCGTTAAACGGAGCAATCACTATGCGAGGCACCACTGTAATGATCAACATAATGTAACTCAAACATGTGTAATGCTTAGTAAAATATTAGTAACAAACAAGCTTATTTTTAGTTACATTATAATCTTTATAGGTGAAAACAAAATAAAAAGTAAAGAAAGACAAAAACGTGGTGGCACTTTAAAGACTAACTTATATTTTTTAATGTGAGCTTTTGCCGACAAGTCCGTTTCATCAGATGTAACAGAAGGTGTTTTTTTTCTTTCACCTATACTGCTTGCACAGAGAAACAGCTATCCTTTCTACAACTACAATCATAATTTTGACCAACATATAGAAATCCAATCTTCTCCCATTTCTTGACTGTGGGACCTATATGATTTCATTTGGAGGATACAGATATGAATGTATATGCACGAATAAACACACATTCACCCCCTCTCTTTTTTCTGTATCCATGCAGGAGCTGTATCTCTCCTACCACCTGCATCTCAGATGGCTTCTTTATCTGGAAGTTTGATAAACGCAACCCCCAATAAATTGTTCCAGTCCTCATTAAGGATAATGCCTATGAGGAAAGATTCCTTGTAAAGTATATATTTTGCTATAAAGCAATTTAGTTGACACCCCACCTAACATTTTAATTGGGTCCAGAGGTTACTACTCAGACATATAAGAGACTAGTGAATACAAGACTGCAGCGCTGGAGCTTTCAAAACTGCCAGTCCTAAGGGCATCCAGCTGTACCCCAAACGTCATGTAGTTCAAAAGCATCTCCCTCTCCAAATTGAGAGATGCTAATGCACCTATTAGCACTATTTGGCATGCACTATTTGGCGTGCTTTGGTCCATGGGGTCACAAAGAGTTGGACACGATTTAATGACTAAACAACAACAACAAGTGCACTATTACGGTGTGTCATTGTTAACAGCAGCGTAAGAATACCAAATAAACAGTGAGGAAAAGGTACCCTTGAAATACTCAGCAAAAGAAAACTAGCTTCTAAAAAGGAGAGAAGTACCTAAAAAAGGCAAGCTTTATTTCACGCTGGAACTAGATTAGCTTAAGATAAATAGTTAAACAAGATAAATAGAAACTTTGAATATACCAGATGTACTGATTTTTGTTTCAAATTGCTGAAAGGTTTTGCATGGAATCTGTTCTCTGTCAATTGCCCCAATTAAGTACATCTGGCTTAGCCTGGAATGAGCATAGATGATTAACTAGATTCTACAATACCTGAGATGCAGCTGAGTTCATAAGGGGTTTGACACGTAGGACAGCCAGTTGGGAAATTTACACACAGAGAGCTCATCAGCTGAGCGCCCTACTATGTAACATAAAGCAGATCAACTGCCAACCATATGGAATTCAAAGGAAAGTGCATGGATATCAGGAAATGGATTTCTCAGTTTGCAAAAGAGAAAAGAAGTTTGTATTTATATCTAAACAAAGAAAATAAATTCCAAGATTTCTCACACTATGCAATAAGTAACGATACAGTTTGAAAATGACGATATGAACAGAAGTGTACTATTCTACTCACCCATTATTCCACAAGAGAAAAGAGTGGGTCCTTGACTCATCTTCTTTGGAGTGTTCTGAAAACAAGCAGGAAAAACTATTCACCAGAGTTTTAGGGATTACATTGAGATCCACAGAAATATTTCCAAAACCTCATGTCAATTTTCATTTAAGACTCATGGGATTTTTCAATACATGGCATAAAGGCTACTTCTGTTCTTTCCATATAGCTTTAACTGATCTTCTAGTTTATCTTTATTACCAAGTTCACTTAATAAAAAGTATATGCCATCAAGTGAGTTCTGACTTATGGCAACCCCTTCCAGGGTTTCATAAATACTGTACAGAGTATTCAGAAGTAGCCTACCATTCTCTTCTTCTAGAGGGTGGTCTTGCATTGTGCAACTTGCCCAAGGCTGCACAGGCTGGCTCTTTTCCTAGGACACACAGTGTGGAATTGAATTGCCACCCTATGGCTCTGTAGCCAGATGCCTAACTCAATGAGCTATTTAGCCAGCTTACAAAAAAAAAATCACTTAATAACAGTAACTGTATGCCATCAAGTCAACTCCAACTTATGGCATCCTTTTCCTGGGTTTTCTAGGTACAGAATACATAAACGTGATTTAGTATTTCCTTCTTCTGGGGGTATTCTGGGGCTGTGCAGCTTGCCCATGGCTACATAGGCTGGCTCTTCTCCCTCAAAGCACAGTCGCGAATCTAACCGCCAACCTCTGACTCCAAAGCCAGATATCTAAACCCCTGAGCTATCCAGCCAGCAGACACAAAGATCACTTACTACCAAAAATAAAACAAATATGAACAATAATAACTAAAAAATACTTTGTAAATCAATCAACAATTAAACTGATCAACAATTTATAGGCTGCTTTCATAGCAGATGAACACCTCTACTGTATTTGAATGGAAGCCATTTCACTAATTTTGTTTAAAATCTTCTCTTCATAAACACTCTCCTTTGTCAGTATTACCTTAGGACTATTCCTTTAAGAGAGAAGCAGTTCCTCTATCTAGGCAGCTTAGAAAATGTTAATAATGTCCATGAAATTAATTGTACTGTCTCGGGACTGAGATGACTTCAGGCTTGCAGGATGCACTTTAGTTTTATTACGCCAAGTGTCAACCGTAAAATACTGGTTTGGATACAGGATCATATACTAAGAATTAAGAAACAGCATGCCTTGGACTTCATCTATAGCCAAAGAATTTATGATTAGTATCAAACTCAAACTCACATTAATTCTTGGTCCCTTATGTGACCTTTTTCAACAACACAACTCATGGTTAGCATCTACTATAAATTTCTTAGACATGCACCAATATATCCCAATACTTCACATTAACTGACTGGCCCCTCGCCGTGGCAGTACAGCCCCATTCCCTATTCTGTTTTTCCATATTTTTTTTCTAGTAAGCCATCTGACTTTCCATTCAAGGATACACTGATACTGTAGGTATATTTAAGTCTCACCCACTACTTATGTGTTTGATTTCTGTGTCTGCAGTCTTATAACACACTGCCATACTGTATATATCAACTCAGAAATACACTTGCTCCAGGTAAGAAAGTGGAGTGTGCCCCACTCAGCAGGCAATGCTTCTCAATAGATGACACTTGTGGTTGCACTAAGCCAACATTTTGGAGTACTACATTTAAATTCATGTTGGAACATGGGACTGAATGACTTGCAGCCTAGAGGATGGAAGAATACCACTCCAATGTTCCTTCATAGCTGATTTTGCATTTTTCTATCCTTCCCCCCAAAAAAACCTCTAGAGCTCTTACATTTGTCCCTAACTATCAAAAGCATGCAGTGCTACTCAGTTTTGCTTCCTACTTTAGTCAGACAACAAAGGAAGCATATATTCACATCCAAATATTGACAATTGTTGAAAAGATAAAGCTTATGGCTGAAAAAAATAAGGAAGTGAAAAGAACACTTTGAAACTACATTTGTGCCTATTTTAACTGTAGTTATCATTCCACAAGGGCTGAGCATGTAGGAAATAAAGAAGCAAATTAGTCATCCCCAAATTGTCTTCTTATAGCAAAGAGAGGATTTAATTATTTCATGAATAGAAAAATGTATATTTATGAATCTGTGTATGCTTTGCTAAAGTTCTTCTGGGATTATCTATACAAGTCTTCTCTTCTAAAAAATCCAATAACCAAAAATACTGAATATTAATATTATCTTACGTAATGCATGTGAACTGAAAATTGACATCAAAACCCAAATTCCATCTACAAAATAAACCAAGCCAACCAACATTATAATTCACTTATAATATGGATTTTATGGACAAGGAAACCAGTAGGTGAAACACAATAATGCACACAATAATGGTGAAACTGGGAACCCCTAAGTTTAGGTATCTGGGTGCAGAGTCAGAGGTTGGGAATCTGATTCTCCACTATGCCTCCAGGGAGAAGAACCAGTCTGTTTGGCCTTGGGCAAGCTGCACAGTCCCAGGACACCCCCAGAAGGTGGGACTAGTAAACCACTTTGGTCCATTCTCTATGAAGAAAACCTTAGAAAGGGTTGCGTTATGACAGAATTGACTTGATGGCACACAGTTTAATTAGGTAGAATGTGCATTTCTTCCTGCAGAGTTGGTAACATTGCTTGCACTTTAAAACTTCTACTGACACTTAGAATAAAATAATAAACTGTCTAGTTCAAAATATGTGTCTCGTGGCTGTTCAAGAAACATGAACACACCAGTTCAGCTCCCATAAAGGCTACAGAACAAGGCCAGCCCACCGGTCAAACTGAAGTAATCAGCTCAAGCAACAATCAGCCTCTTTTTCCCCGCCATTACCCTGTCCATCCCTTGGTCAGTTATGGAAATAATGCCATAGATCAGGAGGGCAGCAAGAGGCAGTGGGGAGAAAGGTACCGCTGCCCAATTTCTCTTTCTTCCCTCTCCCTCTATGTGTTGTTGAGAGGGAGGCAGTGTGAAGGAGGAGCACTTCTCTTTTTGCCTCAAGCAGAAAGAGTGCTTGTGGTGGTGTTGTAACACAGTGGTTCCCAACCTTGGGCCTCCAGATGTTCTTTGATTTCAACTCCCAGAAATCCTGGCCAACAGATGTGGTGGTGAAGGCTTCTGGGAGTTGTAGTCCAAGAACATCTGGAGGGCCAAGGTTGGGGACCACTGTTGTAACAGACCCTTTACAGGCAAGCAGTTCAGGCACAATCCATGCAACGGAAATCTTTAAACACAACACTGTTGGATATGTACAATTTGAGTTCATTCACCCATGTTCCTACTTCAACTGAGCTAAAAGCCACCAGGGACAGTGAACAAGATCTCCTTTTTTTTAAACCCCCAATTAAAAAACAACAACAGCCCTCCAAACTGAAGAATACAAATGCCTCATACCAAAATCTAAACTGTTTGTGTGAAATGAACTCTTACCAGCTCAGCCCTGCAAGATAAAGAATCAGCACCTTTGTTTTCCAGAGTTGTCCTTAAGATCATCACCATGGTAACAAAGTCATGCATTGGGGTCCATTCCAGTAGAGGTAAAGGTCACAGTCAGCCATATTAGGCACAGTCTCTGATTCAGTGCATTTTTCCAGAAGACAGGTTCAAGAGAACAAATTCTCATCTGTTTCAAAAAGTGGGTAACTTATCCAAAAATGCACCAAAATCTTCACACTCTGAAAGGGAAATAAAATAAAAAGAAACATAAATGCAAACTATCTCTAATTTGCTTTCACAAGTCCTTGGAGAAAATAAGATCAGTGGAAAGTTAGTCCTCGCTCCCACAATAATTGAGGAATCGCTGCCCTTCCCCAGGTACCAAAGGAAAAAAGACGACATGATCAAGTTGTACCTGTGGGGAGAAGAAACAGGACCTTTCCATGCTACAAACTGCATGTATAATATGTGTTATGGATAATGGAGTCAAAGAGGATTGAAAATACAGTGGTGCCTCGCTTAGCGAGCACACCGTAGAACGACAAATCCGCACAGCAAGGACGTTTTTGCGATCGCTAATGCGATCGCAAAGCAATGGCCTCTATGGCCGAAAATCTCATAGCGAAGGTCGGTAAGCATTTCGCTTACCGACCTGTGGGGAGAAGAAACAGGACCTTTCCATGCTACAAACTGCATGTATAATATGTGTTATGGATAATGGAGTCAAAGAGGATTGAAAATACAGTGGTGCCTCGCTTAGCGAGCACACCGTAGAACGACAAATCCGCACAGCAAGGACGTTTTTGCGATCGCTAATGCGATCGCAAAGCAATGGCCTCTATGGCCGAAAATCTCATAGCGAAGGTCGGTAAGCATTTCGCTTACCGACCTTTGCTTTGCGACCCGCATCAGCTGTTCAGCGGCTCCAAAATGGCCGCCGGAAGCCCCAAAATGGCCACGCGCAGCGTTTTCGCGCCCTTGCTAAGCGAGAGGAGGGTGCGAAAATGGCTGCCGGCCATAGGGAAGCATTGCTCAACGATGAGTTTCAGGGCCCATGTATAATATGTGTTATGGATAATGGAGTCATAGAGGATTGAAAATAGTCAGCTGAGTAGCAAGAAAAGGCAGCAGAATATGTTGGTAGCATAGGCGGAATGAGGGAAACTACAACTCTTTGTGGAGGTTTGTTGCTTCAGCCTCTCTAATAACCCTATTGCCTTGCCTCAAACTACCAAGCTATGGACTGGTTAAGAGCAAAAGATATTTTAGCAGTAAGATTCTGCAGAAATCCAACATTAAGCTATTGGGTGACCAGCCTACATTGCAGTTTCTTTATTCTTTGCTTAATTAAGAATTAACCACAGTTGGCTCAAGTATTGGACATTTGTTGTCTGTCTGAAATAGGAGTCTGGGAACCATGGATCTACAGTAGTTATGAAATAGGATGACACCAACATTCCTCTCTGTCCCTTCAGACCTGGAGAGCTAGCTACCCAGTTCACCAGACCAGAGGCAAACCCAGGAAAGAAGTGGGGAGCCAAATTGCATTTCTGCACTGTTATTGTACACCAGACAGACATTATCTCTTACACTGTGACTTATTTGCCCCAAAGTATGGCCATCACTGTTCTAAGAGTGAGGATGGTAAGCACTGAAATGAGAAAGAATGGCTAATCTGCTCAATATGATGATAAGCCTATTGGTTTACCAAACATGAACATTTAAAACCATGCCCACTGCTTTCCTTTTGTTTAATGAAGGCACATCTGCCTTATTTTGAATTCTGTGAGACTGTAAAAAGTTGCTGGGTTAAGGGAACAGGCACTGAGCCCACAGCTCAGTAATAAGTGAGATTTCTAGCTTGTTAGTTGCACTTAGACCCTGTGCCATACCATACTTAAAAAAAAAATTAATCCAGATTTGAAATGCACAGAGATTTGTCTGGAACAATATTGCAATAAAAAGGTGAAAAAATATTTGGAAGTTCATAAAGTTGCTTGTATATAACCCAACTTTATTTATTCGAACCCCTAGACAGCCTTCAAAACATTTCAGATAAAAGTTCAAACAACCAGGAGATATTTACATGAGCTACATGGGGGAATCAGGGAGAGTCAGACAGACTTTTAAAAAAAATTTGGCAAGCCCTGCAGCTAAATCCATACCATACAAAAACTGACAGATTGCATTTGGGATTTAATTAAAGAAATAATTTCCAACGTAAAGTCTGTAATTCTATTTAAACATTTTGTTGTGGCCTTTTAAAATTTCATTTGGGGGAAGGAATGCAAAAAGAAGATAGGAACATGAGCTATAAGACACAAAACTTTTATCCCCTAATGTGCAATTATAACTGCAGAGTTCTATGTAAGGTCATTGATTCAGAATATGCTGATAAGCATCAGAACTTACTTAGAGCCAATACTGATTGCCTAGTCAGCTTGTAAATCATATTTCTTGTTTACTTGGATTTGAGCTTGCAAGTGGGTGCCACTGAGAACATTTAGTTAGAGGCCAGCTGGCTAGTAAAGAAAAATTATCTACTATTGTTTTGTCAGAACAAGGTTCATCCAGAGTGCAAAACCATGGAAGGAAGAAAATCGATACATTCTCTCAAGATTTACTGTTGAAAAAAGGAAGTGTGATGGAGTCTGATATTTTTTTTGTGTCATATTAGTTGTCTTCAAGTACTGTTTGCTGGTAGCTTTCCCATTAATCTCCAAACAACCTAATGACCCCTGAGAACTATGAAAGCTGAATGCAGAGAAGATGAGGCAAAACAAGATGAACACTCACATCCTAAAAATATGCTCAGCCGAGGGCACACAGAACAAAATCTCTGATTTAGCAGCCCAGTACTGTGATTCAAGGCAGACTCATTAGACAGTCTTCCACTCTGCTATGCGGCCACCAAATCATGGAATACGATGTTGGGTTACTGAACTGTATATTATTTGAGGAATGGAAGCTCCTCAAACGTCTTAAGTCTATGAGATGATGATGAACAATGACTACCCTGGAGACCTACCCATTCTCACTTTAAAGAGCGATACTGCAACAACAGTTAGTTAGTTAGGCATCCTTCAGTCTCGAAAGACTATGGTAATGTGCTCTGTATGGAGGACTTGGAACAGCGTCTAGTGTGGCTGAGGAGGCCAATTCGAGAGTGACAATCTCTTCCACACTGAAGACAAATCCTGTCCAGCTCCCTGATTTTGCTGCTTTTGTGCCTTCCTCTTTGCCTCGGTCTGCTGGACAAGGGTCTCTTCAAATTGGGAGAGGCCGTGATGCAACGCCTGCCTCCAGGCTGAACACTCAGATGTCAGGCTTTCCCATCTGTTGAGGTCCATTCCTAAGGCCTTCAGATCTCGCTTGCAGATATCCTTGTAACGCAGCTGTGGTCTCCCTCTGGGGCGATTTCCCTGCACTAATTCTCCATACATGAGATCTTTTGGAATCCGACCATCAGCCATTCTCACGACGTGCCCAAGCCAACATAGACGTCGCTGTTACCATCATGCTATAACATTACTAATTAATATCACCAGACAGTAACAAGTGAAATGTTTTAACACATTTCTCCCTTGAATTGCATGAGTTTGAGCAGCATAGTTTTGGTTCTATGTAGATTTTTTCAATAAATATTCAAATAAACAAATAAACAAATATTCAATGTAAATATTCAATAAATGCTGTGCTGTTTTTCTTCTCCAGGAAGTGGCCTGAGAAAATTTGATCTTGGACTTACTGAGGTCCCTGTTGGTGGTGGTACAGCGGTCCCTGTCCAATGGCAGTGATCCAGCTGGCCCCCTCTCCCGGCATGGTGGCTCCATCTGGTGTCTGGGGAAAAGTTGAGGGATGCCAGGAGGTTGCTGTGGGTCAGGTAAAGTCACAGCATTGTGCCCAGCATTGGGCAGAGGTGGAGAAATTGCACATCCACTTCTCCCGTGTGTGTGCATGTGTGAATCAACTGTTTATGCTTTGTAGTTACATTTTGGAGGGAATAAAACTTATACATGGATTTTGAACTACACGGGGGGTGGGGGGTTCCTGCATCCCTAAATCCAGCAATGTTGAAGAGAGAAGTGTAGTTCTTGTAGAATCCTGCATGATTTAGTGTGTAAAAGATTTATTTCTGATAGAGAAGATAATCTTCACTCTACTTCCCTAAGACTTTCTTGCAATGTTTGTATACTTCCGTACTGTTAATTTTTTGTCAGTTTAGGAACACCATAAAGGCTTTGTGTCACTTGAAAATTTGCATACAACTGTTCTGAGAAGTTGGACTACTCTTTGATTAGAAAATGGCAAGAGCACCTGAAGCAGCCTCTGTGGCTATAAAAAGTTGCCTTCACCTGTCAAACCTGGGATATCTATCTATCTATCTATCTATCTATCTATCTATCTATCTATCTATCTACTCGCTCTCTCTCTCTCTCTCTCTCTCTCTCTCTCTCTCTCTATCTATCTATCTATCTATCTATCTATCTATCTCTCTCTATCTCTATCTATCTCTCTATCTCTCTATCTATTAGAAAGAAGCCTTCTGAAACAGAATGGTTTAACTTAACCTTGCACTGCTCCTTTGCTCCTCCTGACTCCTTAACACTGCCAAGTCACAATGCTGCAATCACAGAAGAAACTACAATTGGTCAATTCCCCAGTCAAAGTCTAGTTACACTGTAGCACCAGGCTATCCCATACCCCTCATCTATTCTGCCATGACTTCTTGACTACAGGCCCTCCTACGTCTTCACTCGATGGCTGAACTATTGCTTAGGTAAGAAATCTGATAACTGATTGCTTTGGTGTTGGCCTGCACGCTTCCAAGAATCATGGCAGAGATGCTTTTATTTGCCAATTTTGAACAAAACTGAAAGTTAGGAATTTTCTTACACTGACAAACAGGGGTTTCAGCCTGTATGTTGCTTTGCCCATCTTACTCTGACCTTGGCTGTGCATTTCTCCACCTGCATTTGCCACCCATTGTTTCCCATGGCTCTTACTTTCAGCCCCCTGCATCTTTTGTCTCAATGTTTTTAGCTCTTCTTTCATTTGATTAACCTCCCTGGGATTCCTTCTTCTCTCTCTAGAGCAAAGCAGTCCCACGTCATCTTAAGCAATGTGCAGTTTCTTCACAGCCCTTTACTGGTTTCAGTTCACTGCCTCCTTTGTTCTTTCCCTGAAATCTTATAAATCACCTACCCTGGCTTTAGGTTCCCCATTCTCAGTACATTTT